CACACACACACACACACACAACCGAACAAATACCACTTGCACGCACACACCCACGCACGCACACACATACACACCACAGGACATAAACCACACCAACACACAAAAAACACACCTGACACACACGCACACACACACACAGACACACACTACACACACTACACACAATACACACACTACACACACACACACACACACACAAACGTACATTCACACACCACAGGACATAAACCACACCGGACACACCAGACACACACACACGCACGCACACACGCACGCACGCCCACACACACACACACACACACACACAACCGAACAAATACCACTTGCACACACACACACGCGCGCGCGCGCGCGCGCACACACACACACACACACACCACAGGACATAAACCACACCAACACACAAAAAACACACCTGACACACACGCACAGACACACATACACACACACACACACACTACACACACACACACACACACACAAACGTACATTCACACACCACAGGACATAAACCACACTGGACACACCAGACACACACACACACACACACACACACACACACGCACGCACACACACGCACGCACACACACACACACACCACAGGACATAAACCACACCAACACGCGAAAAACATACCGGACATGGACACACACACACACACACAAATATTCATTCACACACACAACCGAACAAATACCACTTGCACACACACACGCACACACGCACATCTATACATACGTACATTCACACACCACAGGACATAAACCACACCAACACACACAAAAAAAAACCACCGGACACACACAAACACACACACCACAGAATATTTACAGCAGGCACACAAACACGCAAACACATCGGATCCACCACACACACACCATACGTACGCAAACATCACATCGCAAACACAAGAACACCACACATTTTCTATAATGTTCATGCTACATGATCAGCACTAACAGCAGAGTGAACGCAGAAGTGTTGATGTGGGGCAATGTTCAGGAGTGTGTCGCACCTGCTCTCTCCCGGGACCCTTTACAGTTGTATATGGAGTATGTGTTGTGCTTGTTCAGACTGGGCTCCAGGAAAGCCACAGGAAATGCGCTGGAGAATGCAGCCAAACACTCGCCGATGGCTGGACGCTGCCTGAACACACACACACACACACACACACACACATCATGAACAACAACTGGGGCCTGTTTCAGAAAGGAGGTTAACTGAAAACTCAGAGTATTTTAACCCTGAAATGAGAGAAACTCTGGGTTTTCCGTTTCAAAATGGCAGGTTTGTTAAACTCTAGAAAGCAGGGTAAGTCAAGCCTGTTTCTGAAAGAGAGGTAAGTTACTGTCGTCAGTTACTGTGGTCAGTTACTGTGGTAACTTACTCTGTGAATCTAACCTGGTCAGAAGCAGGTTTAATTCTCTAAACTCTGAGTTTCTGTCTGTCTTCTCCCCTTTTTTAAAGATGAAGCGGTATTTCTCGTCTTAGCCTTACGTTTCCACACACCTATTTTAATGCTCATTTTGGATACGTGCATAAAAACGATTGATAAAAACGTCATGATGCACATAACTTTTTAAAATATGTATAAAAAACGCGCATAACTGAGTAGGATAAACTTTTATTCGATAGAAAATGTGCGCATAAACTACGATGGAAAGACTTTTACTGAACAAATTACTGTATGTACATTAAAAAAAGATCATGATCATATAATAATGAAAATGTGTGTAAATTGACAAACCAGCAGGCTGAGCACACTGTAACACGTCTTAAATATTGTTTTAGTCATTCTAAAATGCCTTAACTGTTTCAGTATTAGTGTATATTATTAATTACCTCCGAACGTCTGATGCGTGAGTCTCCGCATCTGGCTTCAGACGCCCCCACGTGTTCATTGTGTTTCAGCATTGTCTTCTGACATTGAGGCGCAAGTACATTAATTAAATAAAGAATTAATTGACGCAGCTTCTTCTACCACAGTAAATTCTGTTTTACTGTTGATATTTGGTGCCAGTTTAATCAGGAAGTGACGATTTTTTTCTCTTTGACTCGTTGGATGGAATTTTATTCGCATCTTTTATGCAATATTCCAGTTTTGCACATAAATTTATGTAATATATTTGGATGGAAACATAGCTATTGCCTACATTTTAGTCACACACAGAAGAACTGTACTAGAATGACTTATCCTTTTTTAATAAATAATTAAATTAAATTCACCTTCGACATGCACTGTAACTAGATTAATGGGATTATTATTCTTTCTAAAAATAATTTTTAGTACTGCTTACCTTCTAAATGTTATATTAACCTCTATCACTTGATCAATAAAAAAGGCAGACACACAAGTGCACTGTTAAATCATTTAAAACTAATAAATGTATAAAAAAAAGTTTAGAAAAAAATATATAAACGTCACAAATTACATTACTTATTTTATTATGCTTAAATATTTAAATACTTAAAAAGTGAAATTAGGCATTAACTTGAGCAGCTGTTTTCCCACGCTAACTGTCTCTTCTTCACTGATGGTTGCTTCTTTTCAAATATATACGCTCATATTTGCTATAACTTTGCATGAGAACATCAAGTTCAGCTGGAGAAAGAAATGCTGATCTCTTTTATAGATATCGCCATAGTCACTCGTAATGTCTGCGCTCCATTGATAATGCCTTTTTATAGTCAAGGTGTGCGCGCTTAACTCTGAGTTGGTCTACTCGAAGTTGATTGACCCAACTCAGATCAGCTGTTCTGAAACCGAAAACTCTGAGTTTTTAATCTCTCGGTAAATCAACTCAGAGTTCAAGTTTAAACTCTGAGTTGTTTGAACCTCCTTATTGAAACAGGCCCCTGCTCATTTGTGAAGTACAGATGATGTATTGATCTGGATTTACCTCTCAACATAAATACTTTTACTGGTTCCGAGCGAGTACAAGTTGTTCAATATGCGATAGCAGGAGACCTGGACATCATCCACTGCAACGACAGAAAACATGAGATCTGAGAGACACGTCAGCACTCACTGATGAGTTCATCCACAGTGGATATGAAGAGGGTGTGTGTGTGTGTGTGTGTGTGTGGTGTGAGGCAGACGTGCTCACGTATCAGATCCTCTCCAAACAGGTTCTGTCCGATGTGCTCGAAGAGCGAGGAGAGCACCGGCAGCAGAGCCACGGTGGTGTAGTTGATGATCTGCGTGACTCCTTTGGGTTGACTGCGTGTGTGCGTGAACTGACCCTGGCGCAGGTTCTCCATCGTCTTCTCCAGATCCTCTGCTGCATTATCAAAGAAGGCCCTGAGAGCCGCTTTGACCGAGTCCTGACCCGTCTTCATCACAGTCCTGCACACAAAGCCTTTCTGAGTGTTCTTCTCCTCAACATCTGCGCCCTTCATATGTTTGGTAACACTTTGCAACAGGTTGTATTAGATCATGCATTGACTAACATGAACAAGCAATGAACAATAGGTTGATTGCAGCATTTGCTCATGTTATTTAAGGTTAATTAGTGAAAATACAGTTGTTTGTTGTTAGGGGTGGCGCAGTGGGTAGCGCTGTGGCCTCACAGCAAGAAGGTTCCTGGTTTGAGCCTCGGCTGGGTCAGTTGGCGTTTCTCTGTGGAGTTTGCATGTTCTCCCCATGTTGGCATGGGTTTCCTTGGGTGCTCCGGTTTCCCCCTCAGTTCATGGAGCTATAGGGCAATTGGATGAGTGAAAGTGTTTGTAGTGTATGTATGTGAATCAGAGTGTATGGGTTTTTCCCAGTGATGGGTTGCAGCTAGAAGGGCATCCACTGCATACTGTAAAACATATGCTGGATAAGTTGGTGGTTCATTCTGCTGTGGCGACCCCAAATTAATAAAGGGACTAAGCCGAATAGAAAATGAACGAATGAATGAATTGCCCTATAGCTCCATGAACTGTGGGGGAAACCGGAGCACCCAAGGAAACCCACGCCAACATGGGGAGAACATGCAAACTCCACACAGAAACGCCAACTGACCCAGCTGAGGCTTAAACCAGGAACCTTCTTGCTGTGAGGCCACAGTGCTACCCACTGCGCCACCCCTAACAACAAACAACTGTATTTTCACTAATTAACCTTAAATAACATGAGCAAATGCTGCAATCAACGTGTTGTTCATTGCTTGTTCAATGATGTTTGTTGTTAGTTCATGTTAGCTCAGTGCATTAACTTCTATTAACATGCATGAATTTAAATGTTTTTAATGCATTAGGAAATGTTGAAGTTTGATTTTTAACCCTCTGGGGTCTGAGGGTGTTTTGGGGCTCTGGAGAAGTTTTGACATGCAAAAGTAGACATATCAAGCTTTCTTTAGAAACATCTCACATGTTTCTTTGTCGAGTATTTGCTGAGTTTCAGTTCATTTTAATGACGTGTTTTTCCTGACACAGTCTACTGTTGCGCGCTCCTCATGCAGGCCGTTTGTAATGTCAAAGCTTCGTGGGCGTGGTCGCATTACCTCCAATGAGCTTCATATTGATTACTTTATCAAACAATATTTGTTTTCAACATGCATAGTTGCGTTTAAAAGTAGACACCAAGCTTTATAAACATAAGTGTCTCATCTCTGGGCGTTTTATTTTCGTGGAGTTTCAGCGCATTTTACTGACGCGTTTCTAAAAACAGTTCACGGAGAGAGAAAAGACAGAATGCCTACACTGTTTATTATCCTTGTTTCGCAAAAGCACATTGTACACAGTGTACACATTTAAAAGTAGACACTTAACAGATTCGATTGATATATTGATCTTATCTGTACGATCAAAACTGAAAGTGTAATTTAGGTTCATTTCAGCTCAATGAGGTAAAACTTGTCAGAACGCGTATACGCGGTCTTCAACCCCAGGGGGTAATTATTAGTTCATGTTGGTAAATATATTAACTAATGAAACACACATATTGTAAAGTGTGACCATATATTTCTATAACCTCTAGACCTGTAATGATTATCAATTCTGCTGTGTGATATGTTGGAAACAGAAATCACAGAATTTATTGCAATAATGCACTAAAAAATAGACTAACCGTAACCATAGATGAGAAACAATAAGTAAAACTATATACAGTATATTGATAAATGGAAACTAAAGTTTAAAGCAACAAATAAAAATCCCCAATATTCCATGACTAGGGCAAAAAAAAAAAAAAAAAAAAATCTCCCTGATTTTGCCTGGAATAAACCTTTTAAAACTCCATGATATTCCAGAAATGTTGTGACCAGTGGGAACTTATTTCATTGCCACTGATTAAATACTGATTATATAAAAGAATAATAATGCAAATAGGACTATTACTTCTCATTCGTACGATTCTTTAAATGTCCTAATACAGGGTTTTTCAAAGTCTAAGACAGTGGGCCTCCCTTTTGACACAACTTATCTATTGGCGCCCCCCTCCTCCCAAACACGCACACACACACACACACACACACACACACATATATATATATATATATATACAGTATATATAAAGACACAGACAGATGTCAGACTGTTAACTCACTTTTATCATCATTTGCATGAAAGTGCAATTATTTACAGAGTAATAACAAGTATTTAAATATAACGTTTTTAAAACTAGGATGATTGTTCAATATGAATAGAACAAATACAAATACAAGAACTGGTCATCCCAGTCAAAACAGTCGAAGTTTAGCAGGTCTCATGCTGTCATTAGCCAAAATATCTTGACAAACCACACATAAAGGTCGTGGTTCCTCAGCTGGTCCTGTCCACGTAAATCCTAAACTCAAATACTGATCATCATATCGTCGTCTTTTGGGTTTAAGCCCTGAACTTGAAGGCTTTGAATCGGGGGGGGGTCTCAGAAACCGATCCATTGTATTAGCAGGCATATACCTGTATTGGCGGGCTTGACAAACAGAAGCGAATTCACAGCTATGGCCTTTTGGGTAAAAAAGGTTTTCTTATGTTTGACGTATTTTTTGTAGCTTTGTTTAATTAAGACGTTTAAATATAATAAAAAATTCATATAATAATTAAACTTAATAATTATATTTTTTTATTATATACTATTTTTTCCCGTGCCTCCCCTGACATGCTCTGGCGCCCCCCAGGGGAGGCGCCCCTCACACTTTGAAAACCCCTGTCCTAATATAAACTGTAACACTGGTCATTTAGAATGTAAATGTCTTTGGAAAATTGGTTAAAAGGACAGTTCACTCAAAAATACTGCCTATTAACTCCAGTGACTCATTCATTCATTTTCTTTTCGGCTTAGTCCCTTTATTAATCAGGGGTCACCACAGCGGAAAGAACCGCCAACCCAAGTAATTAGATATTTATTCAATTTTTGGTAATTGGGATTTATGCATTATCTAAAAGCTAAATAATTAAGCTTTGCTTTTTTTTCCATTCTCTTTATTGTATTTTTACATCAGTACAAATGATACCTTTTACTTATGCATACTTCTCTCATTTTAAACAAAAGTTATAACATTATGTTACTATTGTATGTATAAAAGAACTAAAAAAAATACAAGAAAGTGGGGGAAGAGGCAAAAAAACTGAGAAAAAAAATATAAGAAAAGAACTAAATAATGGGGGAATTTGAGGTGTTTCTACTAGGGTTCAATCACTGCTCTCTGGTTAAAGTACTTAATAAATGGATTCCATATTACATGAGAGTTCTCAGTTTTGTTATTAAGGGAAAGCTTAGCTTCTCAAGTTGCAGGAAAGACATGATATTTTTTATTCATGTGGAGCATCGTGGAAAACCTTTTCGTTTCCAATTCAGTAAAATCAATCTGCGTGCCAAAAGAGTTTTAAATCTAATCACTGTACGTTGATTATTAGATAATTATACATCATCACAGAAACCAAATATAACTCAAATAGGCCCAGGGTTAAGCTTTGTATTTTTACAACTATTTGAACATATTTATTCATTCATTCATTATCCTTTGGTTTAGTCCCTTATGTATCAAGGGTTGCAACAGTGGAATAAATCGTATTGCATATGTCTTACACAGCAAATGCCCTTCCAGCTGCAACCCAGCACTGGGAAACACCCATACACTCTCACATTCACACACACACACACGCACCCACACACACCCACACACACCCACACACTCATATACACTACGGAAAATTTAGTTCATCAATTCCCCTGTAGTGAATGTTTGGTCTGTGGGGGAAACTGAAGCACCCGGAGGAAACACGGGGAGAACATGCAAACTCCACACAGAAATGCCAACTAATCCAGTTGGAACTTGAACCAGCGACCTTCTTGCTGTGAGGCCACAGTGTTAACCACTGAACCACCGTGCCGCCAAAATCATCTTTAAAGTCATCTAAATTAATTAATTTCTCAGCAATGCACATTGCTAATCAAAAACATATATATATATATATATATATATATATATATATATATATATATATATATATATATATATATATATATATATATATATATATATATATATATATATATATATATATATATATATATATATATATATATATATATATATATATATATATATATATATATATATATATATATATATATATATATATATATATATATATATATATATATATATATATATATATATATATATATATATATATATATATATATATATATATATATATATATATATATATATATATATATATATATATATATATATATATATATATATATATATATATATATATATATATATATATATATATATATATATATATATATATATATATATATATATATATATATATATATATATATATATATATATATATATATATATATATATATATATACATATATATATATATATATATATATATATATATATATATATATATATATATATATATATATATATATATATATATATATATATATATATATATATAATATATATATATATATA